TCTAACTGTATAAATAAGCATTATCTGTAACGTTTTATAACCAGGACCCGGATCCCTAGTCCGGGATCCTGATTCTCTTCTTGGCTTGGACCTCATCCTTTTTTGGATGCTTGTAGAATACATGGAACCCTCAAGGCAAAAGGAAAAGAGGAAGGCCAAGTAACATATTACGCCGAGAAATAGAGAAAGATATGAGAGGAATGAACAAACATTGGACAGAAGTGGAAAGAGAAGCCCAAGACAGAGTTGGTTGGAGAAAACTGGTGGTTGGCCTATGCTCCATTGGGTGTAACAGGCGTAAGTAAGTAAGTAAGTAAGTAAGTGTAGAATACATGTTCTACTTCATATCAAGTCTTTTTCTTTTATTCAATGGGGGTTTGGGGCACTCGGATTAGAGCAGCATGTCATGTCGCCGGATCCTTGATCCTGGCTCTCGTTTACTAACTAAGGTAAACTCGTCATCGTTCAAGCATATCAAAATGACATGTTTACGTGCATGCGTAACACTTATAGTGGTCTAACAATGATTGATTAATGATTACAACGTGCAACCAACACTAATCTCCATAACTCTAATTAAGAAATAGTATATATATTGTTACAATAGCATAGATAAAAAGCTTATGAGAAATACAAAACCTTTCTTCTAATAAGTGAATCACATATCGAAATCAAGTTGATTTTCTTTTAAAGTATGATATAAGCTCTTTACATTATTCTACTCATATATACTTAGTCAACAGCAACTAATCAAGATTGAGGTTAGCAGAACAAGTTACCGGTAAAACGTGGAGAAGTTTGTGCTGTTGTTCTGAAGAAGAACAATGAAAGCTTCACAATCAAAACATTCACAACTCAGAGAATGGAACACCACCACAATCATCCACCGGAGCTATAAATTTTCTCCACCATCTCAATATATAGTTACGCCTGTTATCTTTGAGTGGAACATCGGCCGCCAACTATCATTTTCCAATCAACTCTCTCCTCGACTTTCCTTTCCAGTCCGGCGGCATGGCTGTTCATTCCCTTCATGTCTGATTCCGTTTTTCAAAGCAATATGTTCCTTAATTTACCACTTATGCTTTGATCTTGAAGATTTCAAGGTAGTAGCTCTTTCCTTGTGACTCATTTGAGTGAATTCTACGATATGTATTCTATCCACCTCTCACATCTTTTCTTAATTTCTTCCTTAGTTCGTTCTCTTGCATCACACTTTCTTGCTGATATCATCTGGACGACGGATCTGAAGTATCTTGCGTACACAATAGTTAATAGACACCTGTATCTTTTAGATGATGGCCTCCATTGTTCTTGTCACCATCGTGTACCCACAACTCCGAAGTCAGGAATCGAACAACGGACTGTCGATCTCGTGCGTGAACATTTCAGCTCTATATCAGTAAGCTGGTATCAAATGTTAGTGATTTCTAACTTCAATCAATCCGCAATAATGCACCATCTCATTTATTGGCTTTGTTGAGTAACTGCTCCACACCTGACACTGTTGAACTACACTGGCCACACCCTACTGATGAGTCTCATACTAGGAAGAAACAGCTGTTCATTGCTTTCAGGTTTCTAAGATAACAATTTATATCATGAATCAATTAATGTTAGACCACCATTAGAAATCTGTAAAATAACAGTGATGCAACGCCAGTGGGTGATTTCTACATTGTGTCTTATGCACCTCCAGAGATTTGATCTAATTTCTTGATCAGCTGAAATCTTGTTTGTTCTATCTCACTTTAAGTTATGGTTGATGGTGTCTGATCATAAAATCGATCAATGTTAGATCACTAGTAGAAACATGCATGCACTGGATGGCCGTTTCGTCCTAGTATGAGACTCATCAGTGTCAGCGCTAATCCATGATCCTCACTCATGTGGAATCGAACTCATGTTATTCAGTCTTCCACATGAACGTTTAACCTTTAGACAACCGAAAAAGTATTCAACGGTGTCAATGTCGGAGGTCAATCAATCAGTGAATGTAAAAAACTCATTTCATTAGAACTCGTACAGTTTAGAGACCCGCGATCTGAACAAATGAATATCTTTATGAAATAACTCTTTCATTTCCCGATTCGTTGGTAATGACGTTGGTAATGAGAATGTAGACATGGATTCAGTTGGATGAGTTTATTTCATTGGAAACGCACATACAGACAGACAGATGAGAGAATATGAAGCATAAAAGTTAACTCAAGCGAAGTGAAGTGGAGATGGGTGAGTTGAATTAACTCGATGCAATGAGGCATGACTAAGTAAGTGTATTTAAAATCAGAGAAAAACATAAGCCATGTAAGCAGCACGCATGTACACACCTACACACACACACACACACAAGCAATCGAATGAAAACAATCAAGGTTACAGGCAAGTGATTTCTAAGTTTGAAAAAGACTCGTAGAAAAAACGAATGTGTAATAAATTAATTTGTCCAAAGATTTGGAATAAGTCCAGCGAGCTCAATATGTTTGTACATAAACTAAAATAGTTGACTTCACAGAACGTCTGAGAAGAAAACTATTTTTAGTTTCAGTGTTGGTGAAAAGAGATGTCTGCCAACTTTCAACATAAATCATGCTACGGTCAAAAAGGAATCGGAAGTGTTAAGCACAGTGTACTGAATAAAACTGAGCTTTCCACAGTTTTATTTCATCGATGATAAATTCTCCAAATGGATTATATTTTTCTGTTATGTCACTAGGTACGCTTGAAGCTATTACGAGTTCACATTAGTCGATAAACGCGAGCGAAACAATGAACCAGCGTCCAGGTTGGCTACCTTGAATCCCAAACTGTAAAACAGAAGTCTTGGTAAGCGTAGAAAGTATATTCTATAAACACCCAGCAATCACAATACAATCAATCGTTTATTTATACATCATAGAAACGTCGTTGGGACAGTTACTAAAATGGCACACTTAAATACACAGCAGCCAATCACAGCCATGGATTTTCCTGGTGGGAATTGAAATCTCAAGGTCAACTGATCAGCCCATGCTGGCAAACGTGAAATCCAAAATAAGGCATTTATCAAGCGAGTTCTGGGGGATTTAACATCCGCAACATTTTCTTAAGCCTGTTACCTCCTACCATGAAATACAGACCGCCAACCAGCATTCTTCAATCTATACTATCTTAGTGGGTCTTCCTTTTTCTAATACTGTCCAAATGTTGGTGTTCATTCTTTGCATGTCCGTCTCCATTTTGTCAGTGTAATGTGTTTGTTGATCTTCATCTTTTCTTTTAGTCTTGAGGATTTCAAGTGGTAGCTTCTTATGTGACACGGATGCTTTCTTCAGCCTGTGTCCTATCCACTTTCAGCGCTTCTTCCTAATTTCTTCCTTCGCTGGAATCTGTTTTGTTCTATTCCACAGTAGGTTATTACTGATAGTATCTAGACAACGGTCTAACCATGAATTGACCATAAAATAAATTGCGCATTTAAGTTTATAATGTCAAATGAGTGGTCAAGTTACTTTTTCCCTCCTTCTTTCAAATACACTCACATGTAATAAATAGGCAAGCAGAAATATATATATTAGGATATTAGAGACAAACATACACTTGAACAATTTCGTAACATGATTCTAAAGAACTTTATCACAAATAGATCTCCAGAAGCTAAACGATTTATTACGTAGGGATTATGTTAGACATTCAGTCGCATTCAGACGCATTGCTGGCCCTTCGAAATTGTTCAAGAGAATATATTTTTGAATATTACAACTCTATAAACAGCTTGTCCTTTATTATTACTTTTGAAGTCGTTAAATCCCCTGAAATCATTTGGAAAATGTACTAATTTTAGATTTTTTTTATGTGTTCGCGCATAAGTTACTTAGTTGAGCTTCAGCTTACGTATCCCACTCGGAAAATCCTTGACTGTCATTTGATTGATAGATTATTTTAGTACGCTATTTCTGTGGCTCTTCCAAGGACGTTTCTATCATGTAAAAGCAAGCTCGATTTGTGTGCTTATGGACCTCGTATTTTCTGGATGCTTTTAGAATACATTTTCTATGCCGATATAATTAGCCGGGCCAGGGACAAGTGGATTAGAATAGACTATCGTGTCACTGGATCATTTGTCTTTGCTTTCGTTTACTGACTAAGGTGAACTCGTAATAGTTTTTTAGCATATCAGTTGACGAGCATATCACGGTCTAGTACGATTAACCGTACTTAGTTATTTTTTTCAAATTGTGCGATGGTGTAGTGTGTGTGTGTTTGTGTGTGTACAAATATGTCAAGCGCACAGGGATCGACCCCTGTCAAATTGAAAACAAAACTGAATTATACCATTCTTCTCCAGCTATTCACACACACATACACACACACATACGTCTTTCAACCTTTTCAACTATTTGTACATAATCTTGGTAGTTTTTACTTGATTGCTTAAGTACATTGGATAGTTCTCTCATTATATGTCTAGTGTATTCTCAACTGACTTTGAACACTTAGTCATGCCTCAATGCGTTAAGCCGGTTCGCTCGCCTCCTCTGCTTCGCTTCGCTTCGCCTAGCCTCGCCTCGCCTCGCTTCACTTTGCTTTGCTTTTAAGCTTTAACCTCTCAAGTCTACATGCGCTAACGACTGACTGCATGGAAGAAGTAAACTCATCCAACTGAATCCGAAATCGGCTATTTTTTTATTAACCATTGTTTCACAAACACGGTTGACCTAACAATGATGTAAGGGAAAGATTTATTTTTTTTATCGCATACAACTTGAACATTACGTTTATACCCAAAAAAAAATAGTTGGAGTCAGTTCATCAGTGGTCACTTTTTAGTGATCAGTCAAGCTTTGCAAACAATACAACCATTAGAATCTGCTACACTTAATTATCCTTACTTCAAACATTTGAGACTATTTTGTTCATATAGAATGTCGATTGATACAAATTGCAACATGTGAGTATGTATATCATTCACGTAGACAAGTTCACACTAAGCTATCAGTATACAGTTTAACGTAGTGATTATGATTATTACTACTAGTACTACTACTCACACTACTATCACAACTACTACTACTACTACTACTACTAATAATAATAATAATAATACTAATACTATCACTACTACTACTACTACTACTACTAATACTACTACTACTACTACTACTATTAATACTACTACTACTACTACTACTACTACTACTACTACTACTACTACTACTACTACTACTACTACGACTACTACTACTACTACTACTACTACTACTAATACTACTACTACTGTAGTAAATGAGTACACAGGTGGGGCGACCGAATCGTAGTTAACGAAAATTACAGAGTTACTCAGTAAAATAGGATGACCATTTCGTAAATCGTGTTAATTTGCAAAATATCAGTTCATCATAACGAACTGGACTTTTCCTGTTGCAAAACATCAATCCATTGTCACTATTCATGCGTTTCATACAAATTCCATTGTGTTCCCACCCTTCCTTTCTTGATCTTCCCCCATCTTCTACTGCCAGACATTACGTGGACACTCACGTCATATACTACTTATAAGTAGCTCGCACCATACTACTACTACTAGTACTGTGGTGTGTGCTACTTATACGAATGATATAAGTAGTAGTATAAGAAGGGACGTGAAAGAAAAAGTCTCACGGTCAGAAGAGGAAAACGGAAAGCAAATGGAGAAAAAACAAGAAGTAAATGGAGTACCAACATGAAGGAAGGAAAGGAAGCAACAACAGGAATGGAAGAAGAAGGATGGAGCGTTGGAAGTCATGACTCAAAGACGATGTACAAATAGTGTAAGTATTCAATGTAATGTTTTCGTTTTTAATTGACCAAGAGTGTAAATTTAGACAATACAATCTTCCTCGCCTGCTTCAGTCTTCTCACTACTACTACTACTACTACTACTACTACTACTACTACTACTACTACTACTACTACTACTACTACTACTACCACTACTACTAATACTACTACTACTACTACTACCACTACTACTACTACTACTCACACTACTACTACTACTACTAATAATACTACTACTACTACTACTACTACCACTACTACTACTACTACTACTACTACTACTACCACTACTACTACCACTACTACTAATACTACTACTACTACCACTACTACTAATACTACTACTACTACTACTACTACTACTACTCACACTACTACTACTACTACTAATACTACTACTACTACTACTACTACTACCACTACTACTAATACTACTACTACTACTACTACTACTACTACTACTCACACTACTACTACTACTACTAATACTACTACTACTACTACTACTACTACCACTACTACTACTACTACTACTACTACCACTACTACTACTACTACTACTACTACTACTACTACTACTCACACTACTACTACTACTACTAATACTACTACTACTACTACTACTACTACTACCACTACTACTACTACTCACACTACTACTACTACTACTACTACCACTACTACTACTACTACTCACACTACTACTACTACTACTAATACTACTACTACTACTACTACTACTACCACTACTACTAATACTACTACTACTACTACTACTACTACTCACACTACTACTACTACTACTAATACTACTACTGTGGTGCTGTGTTGCGAACTACTTATAAGTAGTATATAGCGTGAGTGTCAACGTAAAGTCTGGTAGCATAATATGAGGGGAAGATCAAGAAAGGAAGAGTCAGAAAACAATGGAATTTGTTTGAAACGCATGAAGAGTGACAATGGATTGATGTTTGGCAACAGGAACAGTCCAGTTCCATAGGATGAACTGATCCTTTGCAAATGAACGATTTACGATATGGTTTTCCGATTTTACTGAGTAACTCTGTAATTTTCGTTAAATACAATTCGGTTGCCTCCACCTGTGTTCTCATTCACTACACTACTACTACTACTACTACTCACACTACTACTACTACTACTAATACTACTATTACTACTACTACTACTACTACTACTACTACTACCACTACTACTACTACTACTACGACCACTACTACTTGTGAAAATACGCTGTACATTTCACTTGCCAGACAGATATTGACTACCACACAAACAAGAAAAGTAACATATTTGAATTGCTAAAAATAGATAAATTTGCATATTTTGCAAATTAGTAAGTAATCATGAACAGAGAAAAAAAATATAAATAAAATGAAATATATTTCTCAAATAATTCTTGAACACAATTTATGTTTGTTACATATTATTCAAGCTGCTTAGCATATATAAAAAAAAATATCTTCTGCCTTAAATGAAACGATTTGATGATATATGACTGGGTGTTTTAAATTCAATCAGTTTGTTATAACGTAGAACTTTGTACTTATGTACGTACGTAAGTGTACATCAGTTCATGTTGTCATACCACATTAGCATATAGAGATGAAATTGTCAATTTAAATCCAACAGTTGTAGATATAGTGGAATTATTAGCGATAATGGAGAAGGTTAGCGTAACTTACTTACTTACTTACTTACGCCTGTCACTCCCAATGAATCATAGGCCGCCGGCCGATATTCGCCTGCCTTCTCTGTCCTGGGCTTCTCTTTCCATTTCTTCCGAATTTTGTTCATTCTTCTCATGTCTTTCTCTATTTCTCGGCGTAATGTGTTCCTTACACTTCCTCTTTTCCTTTTGCCTCGAGGGTTCCATGTGAGGACTTGTCTTGCGACACGCAGTTCGGTGCTTTTCGCAGTATGTGTCCTATCCACTTCCACCACTTCTTCCTGATTTCCTCCTCCACTGGAATCTGGTTTGTTCTCTCCCAAAGTACGTTGTTGCTGATGTTGTCTGGCCATCGAATAGGAACTATTTTGCGGAGGGAGACAACTGTTCATAAATACTTGTATTTTCTGAATGATAGCTTCGGTAGTTCTCCAAGTTTCCGCTCCATACAGTAGAACTGTCTTGATATTTGTATTGAAAATCCTGATTTTGGTGTTGATTGATATTTGTTTGGAGTTCTCCAACCTACTATGTCTTGGGCTTCCATTCCCAATTCTGTCAAATTTTTGTTCATTCTTCTTATATCTTTCTCTATTTCTTGGAGTAATGTCTTCTTTGGTCTTCCTCTTTTCTGTTTACCTTGAAGGTTCCAAGAGAGGGTTTGTCTTGTGAGGCAGACGGGTGCTTTTTGCAGTGTAAATAAAGCTATGGCTTAATCCCTTGGACAAATGACTTCTAATTAACTAAGTATGCATGTTTTAAACTCTATTTTGATTACTTTGTATTACATTTCCATAGAGAAGTAATCATTGACTTAAAGCCGAGCACGTAATAAATCATATCCGCTTCATAGGCAACTGTGTAGAAGTTTAATATTGTAAGAACCTGTTTTACTATCATTGAACAGAAATAAAAGTAAACAGAATCCGAAAACATATGATATGATTACTCGTTTAGAAAACTCCGCCTAGATCCTCTCTGGGGCTAATCCAGACCTTGTCAACTACTTGCTCTAATCTTGGCTGCTTCTCTTGTAGAGACAGTGTGTGTGTGTGTGCGCGCTCATACTTACTTCGCTTATCTCAAGTCTGGCTTATTATGTCTGACTATGAATACTGAGTGATAATATTTCTTTAGATGGAGTTGGCTTGCTCACCTTCAACACTTCGCTTCGTTTTACTTGTACACTTTTCGCTCTCCGGTCTGTTCGCAAGAACAATTACTTGAAAAAGATTCATCCAACGGAATCTGTTAGCAGAACACAGTTTGGAATAAAGCATAATTGAGTTGTTGCACGCTGATTGGCACTTTCTGATTGAAATCAGCGCTAATCGATACTGAGAGAACATTCTAGAATCTTCTCATGTAAGAGAACTATAAATATACTAACATTTTAAGCTTCTTGACTTCCATTTAACCCTCTTATTGAAATATAATCTATTTCCTGTTCAACTGGTAGATGTAGGCTGCCTGGTTGGGGTCCGTGAGACGAAAGTCATCAATGGTTAGAGACCTTGAACGACATGGCTCAAAATCGTTTGCAATGGTGCAGGTGCATCCACTGTTTATGTTCTCTCTAATTCTAACGTTCTGAATTCCTCATCATCTCTATCTTTCTCTTTCTAAATTTATCTTACTGAATTATGTATACTTCTCGAATCATATGTTTGCTCCATTACTGCTAATACTTCTGCTATCGCTAACACTCTTGTATTTGAACTGACAGTTGCGTCTCTATGCTGATGGGGCATGGCAACCTGAGCTGATGTACTTCGTACGTACGAAGTTCTGCGTTGTATCTGTCTGTCTATCTATCTGTCTGTCTCGAGTGAATCGGTGTCCGACAATACTAAGCATCAAGAATAGCTGGGTGGTAATATAAAGAGAGAATTATAACAGAATCTGTATTTAGCTTCGTCGTACAAACGAAGCTCACCTCAATATGAGGTACTGAAAACTAAAGGGGAGGCTTATTTCATTGTATAATCGTTCACTCGTATAAAATGGAGTCAGGTTGTTGGCCATCAAAAGTGATTAGCCCTACATTAAATCCAACGCAGCCACGGTATGCTCAATCCCAACAAATCCATGATAATATACCTGTCTCATAGTCGACACATTTGAACTCCATTGTTTACAATTTCTGATTAGAAGAGCATCGAGAATGTGAAGAGGTTAAAAGTTTGCATGTAGTATGACCAACGAATTCAGGTCACATTTCAACTTTTGGGATCGGTTCGATCTACTCTATCTCACTCACTCATTCACTTACTTACTCTATCTCTTGTTACAATAGTAGTGTAGTGAAGTAGAACAAAGGTGGGGCAACCGGATCGTAGTTAACGAAAATTACAGAGTTACTCAGTAAAATAGGAAACCATATCGTAAATCGTTTATTTGCAAAATATCAGTTCATCATATCGAACTGGACTGTTCCTGTTGCAAACAACATCAATCTATTGTCACTCACTATTCAAGCGTTTCATACAAATTCCATTGTGTTCTTCTAACTCTTCCTTTCTTGATCTTCCTCCATCTTCTGCTGCCAGACATTACGTTGACACTCACGTTATATACTACTTATAAGTAGCACGCACCACAGTAGTAGTATATAAATGAAATCAAATTTTCTACAAACTAAAACAGTATATTATATATATTTTCTATAGCAAAACTTTACTTACATTAACAACAATAACAACAACGGGAGAAAAAATACATTTCATTATGCGTTTTCCAAAAAAAATAAATTTTGGCAAAAAATATCAGCAAACCACTCACTCACTAATGAATGAATGACATTTACATTAATATTTAGATAGTTTTATATATATATATGAAGGGAAAGAAATAAATTCTACTCTTAATGTAACAGAGATTTCAGTTTTTTCTCGTTGGTTAATGGTTAATTCATAGCTAGCTGGCTTACATTTTTAGAATATATATATATATATATATATATATATATATATATATATATATATATATATATGGTTAGGTATATATATGCTCAAATGTCAGAAATGATTATTCTGATTAACATGTCATAGATAGAAAGTGTGTGTGTGTGTACGGAATGGATTTCTAAAAATAACCTTTATTTTTGGTGAGGATTTTCATGTTTTTTCAGTTAAACATGAAAACAGTTAGAGGGTGATTCAGTGGTTAAAAGGAGTTAAGAGTTAATGGATAAGAAACCAGAGTTCATTGAGTTCGATTCCTGTGTGTGTGTGTGCGGGACTGGTGTGGATACATCGGTTAGTCAGTCAGTCAGTCAGTCAGTCAGTCAGAGACAACGTAGAACTTTTTATGTAGGTACGTGCATCAGTTCAAGTTGCCAGACAACATTAGCACATAGAGGTGCAACTGTCAATTAAAATCTCACAATTAGGGGAATGGTAGTAGTAGTGTGTTGCGAGCTACTTATAAGTAGTATATGACGCGAGTGTAAACGTAATGTCTGGCAGCAGTAGATGGGGGAAGGTCAAGAAAGGAAGAGTGGGAACACAATGGAATTTGTATGAAACGCATGAATAGTGAGTGAAATGTCAGACAATGGATTGATGATGGATTGAAGATTTGCAAATTAACGGTAACGATATTGTTTTCCTATTTCACTGAATAACTCTGTAATTTTCGATATAAACAATTCGGTTGACCTCACCTGTGTTCTCCTTCACTACATTTTGTGTAACAGCTTGGTCAACTCGACTGCCAGCACCAGTGGGTCTCCATCCATCGATAACTTCACCGTCCTGAATTTCTGAAGTGCCTCCTGCCGATCCACTGGGCTGTCAAACTCCGCGACAAGCCAATCCGTGACCGCTTTCCATGTCCTCACCTTGCCATCCATGCTGTCATACACCGCCTTCGTTCGGCCGCGGAGCAGCAATCCCAAAGTCACCGTCTTCTCCTGCTTCCATCCGGCTAGCTCCGCCACGGTATCTTCAACCTGGCAGCGACACCAAATGTAGTGAAGGAGAATACAGGTGAGGTAAAAATTACGGAGTTAATTAGTAAAATATGAAAACCATATCGTCAACCGTTAATTTGCAAAAGATCAATCCATCATTAATCTACTCTTAATGTAACAGAGATTTCAGTTTTTACTCGTTGGTTAATGGTTAATTCATAGCTAGCTGGCTTACTATTTTAGAATATCTATATGTATCTATATGTATATATATGTGGTTAGGTATATATATACTCAAATGTCAGAAATGAATATTTTGATTAACATGTCATAGATAGAAAGTGTGTGAGTTTGCGTATGCGTATGGAATGAATTTCTAAAAATAACGTCTATTTTTTGGTGAGAATTTTCATGTTTTGTTTTGCTCTTTTTTGAGTTAAACATGAACACAGTTAGAGAGTGATTCAATGGTTAAAAAGAGTTAGGAGTGAATGGATAAACAACCAGAGTTCATTCAGTTCGATTCCTGTGT